CCCCATTCATTTCAAAAGTATTTTGCACAATGGGATCTATAACATCAATGGCGAATAGAGAATGATTTTCATTTGGGTATTTCATGGAGTCGTAAATATTGAATTCAACTTTATCTCCATCAAATTCCAGAGTTAAAGATCCGCTAAAAACATCAATTTTAGCTCTAGCGGTCTTTAAAAATGGCCTTCCTAAAAGGATAGGAACCGCATTCTTGTCATTTTCCATTTCTAAAACATAAAAGTCGGCGGGAAAGATCAAATTGTCTACCATAACTAGTACGTCTTCGACAATACCTTTAGGGTAGGCATTTGATCTATCCGCAAGTTGAATAACTACTCCGGTTTCATTGAGAGGGCCAAGTTCAAGTGATTTATACAAAGAATAAGGGATGACATTAATTGATGCCCCCAAATCTAACATGGCCTTTGAAAACGTAGTACCTCCCAACTTACAAGGTATAGTGAACATGCCCGGGTCATTGTATTTTTTTGGAAGTTTCTTTTGAAAAACCGCGGAGACACGTTCACTAACTTGAACTTTCTGTTTTCCATTGAGTCTATGCTTCCTTTTTATTGTGCATAACTCCTTGAAAAATTTTGCGAATCTAGGAACACCTTTTATTAAGTTGAGAAGAGGAATATTTACCTCACATTTGGAGAACGTCTCATAGATGTCCTTGTCTTTCTCCACCCTTTTTGTTTCCCTTAGAGCTTCGGGAAACGGTGCTTCCACTTCATGAATAACCGGGGGTGGAGTTGAAATGTGAGCTTCCTCCTCCTCCGGCTGAGCTTTCTCCACAAGCTCTTCTTCCTCTTCCTCGCCAATGTGGCTTTTGGCTTTCTCCTTGGCAATCACCAACTCTTTGCCACTCCTTAATGTCACCGCATGGGCTTGTTGCCTCGGATTCGGCTCCGTTTGAGATGGAAGCTTTGTCGAATCCTTGGCTTCAAGCCTACTCACCGCACTTGAGATTTGGCTCACTTGATTCTCAAGGTTTTGGATGCTTGATTTTGTCTCATGTTGGAATTGAACCATGTTTTGTTGCATGGTTGAGACATTTGAGGTGAGTGCTCGGATCATGTCTTCGGTGGACATAGTTGAACCTTGGCTTTGGGGTTTAGAGTACGGTTGTTTTGGAGGAAATTGGTTTTGTGGAGGGTTATTTTGTGGTGGGTTTCCTTGCGGATTCCCATATCTCAAATTGGGATGATCTCTAAACCCGGGATGATAAGTGTTGCCGTAAGAATCATACCTCTTTTGGTTTGGGAACCCCAAAGCGTTGACCTGCTCGGGGTTTTCTTCTTGAAGGCTCGGGCATGCATCGGTGGGATGGCCTTGTTGTGTGCAGATGCCGCAGACCTTGACTTCTTGGGTTTTGGAATTTAAAAGAAAATCCTTTACCAAAGAAGTCAAGCCGGCAACTTGACTTTCTAGAGATGATGTTGATTCGGCCGCCATGACTCTTTTTGTTGATGACCGCCCGTTGTGATATCTACAATTCTCGGCCAACTCCGAGATAAGATTCATAGCTTGAGAAGGAGTCTTGTTAACGATCCCTCCTCCACATGCGGCATTAATCATCCGTCTATCATCATTGCAAAGACCATCATAAAAGTATAGGATGAGGTCTTGCTCCGAATAGCCATGATATGGACAGCTTGCACAAAGTTTCTTGAATCGTTCCCAATATTCATAGAACGATTCATCATCTTTTTGCTCCACATTGCTTATTTGCTTTTTTAGAGATGAGGAGACAGAGGCTGGATAGTACCTTTCGAGGAAAGCTTTCTTCATGGCCGCCCATGTATCTATACTTCCCGAAGGAAGATAGAATAGCCAATCTTTTGCGGTATCTTTGAGGGAGAATGGGAAAGCCCGCAATTTGATTTGTTCCTCGGTGACTCCATTAGGACACATGCTTGTGCATACGACATGGAATTCCGAGAGATGTTTATTTGGATCTTCCCCTCTTAAGCCATGGAAGGATGGCAAAAGATGAATGAGCCCAGATTTCAGCTCAAATGTATTACCCTCGTTGAGTGTGGGGAAGGTAATACACAACGGTTGTTGGTTCAAGTTCGGAGCTGTGAGCTCCCTTAACGTTCTTGTTTCGAGAGCCATAATTGTTGGTTCTTCAGGCTCGCTAGAATAAGAGCTAGTACTTGATGAATCTCCCGAGTCGGTATTTGAGAATTTATTTTTCAACCGCTCGAAAGTTTGCTCTATTTCGGGGTTTGATTGGTATGTGATTTCGTTTATAGAACGATATCGGACCATATACTTCACAAAGCTCAGAAATAGAAAAATAAGAACTCTTTATATTTTTGGTTAATTATTTTTTTTTTGATTTTTCTTGAAATAAAATAAAAAGAAAAATAATTGCCTCTCCCCGGCAACGGCGCCAAATTTGACGTGCACTTTGTCGTGATGTGCACTCAAAATAATAATCAATACGACACTAAAACGTAGTATAGTGAAGTAAGGTTCGTATCCACAGGGAAAGGAACACTTCTCTCTTTATAAACCAGTAACAAGGGGGGGTTTAGGTTGAGTATGTGAACTTAAATTGTATTTAAACACGAAGATGAACGAGTTATGTGGTTTAATTAATGAGAAGAAGACTTGGCTTTGCTTTTATCCACTTAATGAAATGTTCGTCGATCCCGGTTATATCTTTAACTATCTTCCTCTCGAATACTCAATCGAGGAGTATATCCAGTTCATCGAGGGTAGTTATTAATAACGAGAAGCGTTCATTAATAAAACTTACTACCGAGTCAATATAGAACAAGCGCCGTATATTAACTTGATAGTAGCAATAAAATCAAGATGAAAACGATTGAGATTGATAACCTCAACACAAGCGGTTTATTGGTTTAATCAATATAATTAATTCCCCTTGGCTTATTAACCATGAGAAGCATGCATTAACAACCCAAGTTTACTACCGTGAAAGGACCGAATTAATAACAAGCGTATTAACCGACCGATTCTAGTAATAATTAATATATAGAACAAGACTAGTTGATACTTTAAGTAATGTTCAAAATATTAATATGAAATATGAATAGGAATTAATTAATACTCAAGGAAGAATATTAAAGAAGATGAATCCTACTATAGTTAATATCAAGATGTAACTAATTGTCATTTTAGTAACACTCCCCAATATTAACATAGAGGAAGAAATAACTATTACTATAACTAATGTCAAGATGTTAACCAATTGTCATCTTAGTAACACTCCCCAACATTGATATAGAAATAGTATTTAAAGGGAGAATTAATATTCAAGGAAGAAGATTAAAGATAATAACTCACAACTTACAAATTCATTAAGCTTCAAAAGAGCAAAACCAAGATGGAAGAGTTTAGCTCCTCATTTGGAGACTAACCATGATGAAAAAATATAAAGAAAGAACTTGTCTAAACTGAGCTAAGAAGTATATGTGAATTGGTACCTCTATTGTGAAGGAAAGGGGGTGTATTTATAGGCTTTTTTGAGGTGTAGGTCGGGTACTCGATCGAGTATATACATATACTCGATCGAGTATGTGTAGAAATCAGAATTCGACCCATACTCGATCGGTTTTAGAGTAAATTTTATAACTATACCCGATCGAGTATGTCGGTGTACTCGATCGGGTATAGACACTCGATCGTGGGTAAATCTTCCTCTGCATGTTCCTTTGTTTTCGGATCCGATCCGATTTGAAATGTCAACCAGATACCCGATCGAGTATATATGTATACTCGACCGAGTATAGACCAAAATCAGGATTTTTCCTTCTTTTTGTCTTGTACTCTTGCACCTTCCTTCACCATTGATCATTTGATTGATCTTGGACCTGTTTAAGCTCAGAATAAACCTAATCTAAACAAATTACAAGAATTTAACAAACTGAACTATTACACCGAAAGTGTGTAATTTCCGAAATATTAAACAATCAAAACTAACTAAAAGCGTAAATAAATATACGGAAATTACAAACGTATCATCAATTCTCTATTGTAATTTGTGAACTTGTAGATTTGTAGTTCATATTTCAAAATTCAAATCAATAAAAGTTAAATTTTTTTATATGTCGCATTTTTTAATTATATTATATTATTATTACTTAATAGAAAATGTATTAGAATTAATTGTTCTCAATTCTCAAAATGTACTTATTACTTATTTCACATAAATGTACTTCAAGATTGTTTTTAAATAATTTTAATATTCAAGATTCCAAGTAGATGTATAAGAATATAAGATAAAAAAAAAATTCTAGGCCCGACCCGACCCGCCGGTTCACCCGACCCGGGGCCCGGCCGGGTCACCCGGCCCGAACCGGCACCCGCTCACAGGCGGGCCGGGCCCGGGCCTTACATTACCGAACCGAGGCCCGGCCGGGCCCAGGCCCGAACCGGGCCCGAACCGGCCCGAGGCCAGGCCTAGTCAGTGACCAGCCCGGGTAGGTCCAACCCATGGGGGTTCCGGTCCGGGCTCGGGCCCCACAAATCATGAACCGGTCCGGCCAATTCGGGCCCGGTTCCAGGCCTTTTTAATTATTTTTTTTCAATTTTTTTTTTTAGTTTTCGGGTTGGGCTGGCTAATTTGGGCCATTTGGGGTGGTTTGGGGGTGAGGTGGGGGGGTTGGGAATTAACTAGGAAAAGGGGAAAAAAATAACAAAGGCCCGGGGCCCGGCCCGGGGCCCGGCCCGAGTCCACCCCTAGTTGTCTCCTCATCCTCCATTCATGAGTTAAAAATCGGCTGATTTCTCTCCAATTCCAGAATCGTGTTCACTCTAGATTGCACTAGGCATGGACCCGGGCCGGGTCGGGCCCGGGCCGGGTCAAGGCCCGGTCGGGCCTCGGGTCCTATAAGGGTAGGCCCGGGACCGGCCCGGTCAATGACCGGTTCCGGTTCGGGCCGGGTCACCCGCCCGGGTCACGGGTCGGGCCACCCGCCGGGCCGGGCCGGGCCAATAAATTTTTTTTTTTTTATTAATTATATATTATACAAATTGCTATTAAAAACAAAGTTCAAGTGCATTTATTTGAAATAAGAACTACATTTGAGAATTGAGAAAAAAATAACAATACGAAATACATTTTGTAAATTGTAATGAATATCAATTGGGATTTCCGCCACCGTTGGTTGTTGTTTTCCCTTTGTCACAGGACTTCATATGCTTTATTGGCATCCCGTATCCGTATGAACGCCCCAAGCAACAGTCTTTCTTGCACCACCTGCAAGTTGCCCACCACAGTCCGGTCTTCGGGTCCTTCCACTTGTCAAAATTGTTTTGCATAAGGGAAGATGTACTTTCCATATTTAAAATGGTATATGTATAACAGTATAAGTAATTAAGTAGGAATGTAGGATAATAAGAGAAGATGAAGATGGAGAAGAGTTTGAGAAGAATTGGAGAAAAGGTGTAGAAAAATGTTAGAAAATAGATGTATTTATAGGTGTTTTTGAACCCCACTCCCCACACCACCACCCCCGGGACCCCCCTGCCCCCCACCCATAGCCCCAACGGCTATATAGCCGTTTGGGAGCTTTGAATTTTTTTTTTTTTTTAAGTTATACACATATTGTAAAATAAATTAATTAATTTAATGAATTAAGTAAAATACTCAATCAATAGCAAACACCTTATCAATCAAATTATACTCAATTAAAATACGCTCAATCAAAATATAAATATGTTCAGCGGTGTGACGATCATTAAATTCACGAAAAGCAAGAACACGTTTATGCATATTCCAATCCTCATCAATATAATGTGCAGTCAGACCCAAATAATATAAATGATGAAAATCATCCTCCCATATGTCAGAACAAATAGTAACACGCCCATCAAAGTTTGCAAAAAAATTTTGTAACCTTTCCTTTTCCGCATTATAAAGCCTTATTATTTCTTTCTTAACAGTTTTGCGACTATAATTTCTAAATTGAGGATTTAAACTACCTTGTGCATAATCTCTTAAAGCAAGACTTTCAGAAAACAAATAAGGCAAATTTTCTTCACAAATTAAGTTAGCCATACCAGTCAAATTTTGTGCATCATTGTAGGAGAAATTACCAAAAGGTTGAGAATTCGCAAACCTCGATATTTGAGTTTGCTTCCCCGTTCCGCCGCCTAATTTTGCATACTCCACGGGGTGCTTTGCCTTAAGATGCCTTGCGGCGGATCCGTATCCGCCGGAGGTTCCCAAACTATAATTGTTGTTGCACCACTTGCAAGTTGCGTGCCAATAGCCGGTTTGTGGGTCCTTCCATTTATCAAAATTATTTTTCATTAGTTCAGACTTACTGTTTTTATTACCGGTGGCGGTTTGGGATGAGGCAGGCGCGTCGGCGTCGTGGCTGCCGGCACCCTCCTCCTCAGCCGTCTCCGGTTCCAATTCCTCCGCATCTTCATCCTCAAGCTCCTCTTCGTCAATGGTCGTCGGCATTTGTTGTTGTTGTAGAAAGCGGTTATTATGTCGGGCCAATTCTTGTTGGAGTTGTTCTTCGGACATCGCATCTCCATCTCGCCTTTGGTAACCCGTTTCAAAATCATCTCGACTTTGAGATGAAGACCCGGCAAGTTCTTTACCTTTGCGGGATTTCTTCCTCCCAATCTCGTTTCTTCGATTGCGTTGGAGGTTACCCAAATCAACCGAATATCTACCACCTTCCATCTAAAAAATGTAACAAATATTAATTCACAACAAATATAATAATGGATACAAAACTAATGCAACTAATTAAAACTATTTTAATTAATACTTCAAACTAATTTTTTGCAAAGTAGAATTAATGTGTGTCTCTACAATTAAAATTATAGCAACTTTTGAAGTAAATAACTAGTACAAGTAAAAATGTAACAACAATGCTAATTAAGTAGTTAACTAGTATAGTGACAAATGTAACAAACTAACAACTAGTTAAATAAAATGTGAAGTATTTTAATTAGTATAATGAAAAATGTAACAAGAATGGTATTGAAGTATTGAACTAATTAACTAGTATAATGAAAAATGTAACAAGAATGGTATTGAACTAATTAACTAGTATAATGAAAAATGTAACAAGAATGCTAATTAAGTAATTAACTAGTATAATGAAAAATGTTACAATAATGGTAATGAACTAATTAACTAGTATAATGAAAAATGTAACAAGAATGCTAATTAACTAATTAACTAGTATAATACTAGTTATAGTAAGTAATATATAATATAATGTTTATATTATATAATATATAAGTATACTATACTATACGATGAGTAATACACTTATATTTTATACTTTAATATATAAAATATATATTAAGTAGATGTAGAATGTATGTATTAAGTGGATATAATAATTGTATAAGAATTAAATATTAGAGTATAATGGAGAATTGGAGATTGGAAAATAAGTATATACGAAGTATAAAATATAAGTAGAGAAGTAGATATTATTATGTATTAAGTATATAGTAATAGTTTATAAAGTATATTTAATACTTTATTATATAAAGTATATATTAAGTAGATATAGTATGTATGTATGTATTAAGAGATATAAGTAGAAGTAGAAATTAAGTAGATAAGAAATATAAGCAATATAGTATATGTAGATAATAATATATATAAGTAGATAATTAATATATAAGTAGATATAATAATTGTATAAGTATTAAATAGTAAAATAAAATATAAAGGAGAATAAGAGAATTAGAGAAGATGAATATGGAGAATTGGAGAATGGAGATGAGTAGAGAGTAGGATTTAGAAGAGTTGGAGAAGAGGTGTGAAAAAATGTTTAAAATTAGGAGTATTTATAGGTTTTTTTTTTTAACCCCCACCCCCCACCCCCCACCCCACCCAAACCCCCCTGACCCCCCCCTGGTACCACCCAACGGCTATATAGCCGTTTGGGGTGGCCGTTGAGCCAAAAGAATCCAAAAAAAAAAATTAAATATTAGACCGTTAGGCCCGGGCCCGGGCCCGACCCGGCCGGGCCGGGCCTCCAAAACCAGGACCCGAGCCCGGTCCCGCTAACCCGACCGGGTCTCTGCCCGAACCGGACCCGGACCCGAGAACCGGGCCGGTTCCGGGCCTGCACAGTGACGGGCCGGGCCGGTCCCGGGCCGGGCGGCCCGAACCGGGTCCACGCCTAGATTGCACTGACCCCTTTTCATAAGAATAATTTCATATGCACCCAAGCGTAGCCCCATTTTTGGCCTCGAGGCTCTCAACTACATAAAAAGTCTGGTATATCCTTACAGTAACCATAACTAAATAACTAGTCTTTAATACAAGGGTACATTATGTGATTGAAATCAAATGTGGTGCTAACTTTTAACCTTGACTTCTGGTCTTCTGGAGTGAATAGTAAAACTATCATTCTTCTCATGATCAAGTTGTCACATACATTATGGAGAAAAATATCAAAATAACTATTCTATGAAGAAAAGAAGGGCACCGGGATAAAGATAAAAGGATTATATTTCAGCTATATACACAATTTACAAATGACAGTTCAAACTTGGACGAATCTCAACACAGCAAGAATGTTGTTGAACTATTACCAATCGTCTATGTCATCATCAGATGTATCATAATCACTTTTGACATCCTCAAATGCTTGCTCAATTCCAAACTCATCATGTACTCTATGTCCAAGCCATTTAAGAATAGGTTTAATCTCAGTTGCAATCACTGACTGCATAGGCATGGACTTCTGGTCTTGATGTTCAACATAATAATAACCTCTCTCCCTCGACATCTGAAACTAACGATCAGAACATTCATCCACATCAGCCCAAAAGTAAGTCATTTTTAGTACTATTATAGATATGTAATACTGCGTAATCAAATTTACTCTAAAAATACATGGCAAAATTAGCATTGTTTCATGAAATAGGACACTATTGGAGCCAAAAACGTTTGAAACACCATTCTTAATCTTTTTATGGGAGTATATCAAGACAGGACAATGATTTCAATAGATCTGAAATCTATTAACGAACCTTATTTTGCCACATGGATTGCTCAACCTGCCAAAGTTTTGGTCGCCGGATGGCATGCCACCTGAATTATTATCAACTATAAGTTTTCCGCAAATGAAGGGCATTTTGCAAATATATTGAAATGGCATACCTGGATGGTGATGGATGATTATTACCAAATAACACTCCCCGAACAGCAACTGATGCAGCAACTAAGTGCTGAAGATTCTCGGTCCCAAAATTTGTGGCAATCATATTTTTGGATGGTGAAAGAAGGAAATCAGCATCACTTAAATAAGAAGATACAACCCAGGCATCATCTGCAGCTTCTTCATTTAAAAAATCTAACACTGCTCGAGGAAAAGATTAAAAACTCAGGACCCCCTTCAATGCCACGAGAAAACGATACACGTTTCTACTATGTGGAATTCCACTCATAAAAAAAACTCCATATTTAAAGAGAAATATATATACCGTTCTCATGCAGAAAATCAGTGATGGGTCTTGCTTGACCATGTGCTTGTGAAAGAACAACTTCTGGAACATCCATCTTTAGCGGAAAGCGCGTGAATTCCTCCTTTAAAACAAATACACCTTTATCTGAAAATGTATAACTACATAGAATGAGATTACTGAAGCACATTGCAGTCAGTTTTAAGAATACAAATGCAGGAAGGTACTAATCTTAAGGCATACAGGAAACTATCCAGCAAAATTGAATATACAATTATCCTTCCAAATCTGAAAAACTGACATGTCACAAAAACTATTAAAAATGGATCCTACAGGAAAGTATATACTAGTGAGGATGAATTAAAACAATCTACAGTTGCAAGCATCTGCAGCAATACTAAAAGGTCATTATAACAAATGGTCAGATAAACTAAACAGTAGTTTGTGTGCTCCGATAGTTGTAAGTAAGAATTGGGCATGGTTTGAGATTCCCTTTATAGTCTAATAATGAAATGGATAGAGCCTGTACATCACCTAAATTACTAATACCATTTTTAAAACATACTCCCTCCGGTTTTTATTAAACTTCACTCTTTGACTTCACACAAAATAAGGAAAGAAATTTGACTTTACTGTAGAGTACACTGTTTGGCACTGCTGAGACACTGTTTGGCACTGTTGAGACACTGTTTGGCACTGTTGAGACACTGTTTGACACTGTTTGGCACTGTTTTAATGTAGATTTCTTTGCCAAAAAAGGAAATAAGGAAGTGTGAAGTTTATTTTAGACCGTCCCAAAAAGGAAAGTGTGAAGTTTATTAAAAACCGGAGGGAGTATGTTTTTTAAGGCAATTTATGACAAGTTGGGAGAAAAAGTTTTCAGAGAAAATTCATTATCATCAGCACCTTTAACCCAACTAATTGAGTTTGGCAGCATTAAATTCATAGTACTAATTGTGAGTATAAAAAACTTTACACCATACATGATGCATTCATTCCAAAAAAAAGCACAGTGGTATGTCTTGTGCCGGATGGCCATCTAATACCACTATGATCATTATTTAATTCAACATGCAGGGAAAGTATCATGAGATGGTGATGGGTTGAGGCAAAAAAAAAATGAAAGAAAAAAGTTACAGAACTCAGAACCCCGTTCAGCCAAGCAATATGAACAGTGCAATTCAACTATCACACCTGAAGAATTAATATCTTCGTTCTCTCTTTTGTTGTGCAGAAATTTCCCTAATGCATGGAACAAAGAAATGGTTTCATCTCTGCCAAATGTCATAGATATTTGATTATATGAAGTATTGGCATCATCTGGGCTTTCTTTTGAAGCAGTAGAGTAACAGCTCGAGGAAAGTTGAGAAGGCATTGACTGTTGGTTCAGGCAGAAGTACTGTAATGATGTAATAGCATTCCTGATATCACCTCCACTTGCTTTTGATATTGCTTCAATTGAATCAGCAGTAACATTAACTTGTTCCATTCGGCATATTTTTTCAAGACTTTTTTTCATAGAATTGAATGTAATTGGATTGAAAGTCACCTGAAAATTTTCGGTTTAGTTACTACCAATAGATTAAGGAGGAATTAAGCTGCATATTCCATCTGTCCTAAAATAATTTACGTTTGAAAAAACTGCATGCTTATTAAGGAACCTTACGAAATGATCATCCTATCCTTATTTATGGCATTATATGCATTTCATTTACTTAAAGGTATAAAAGCATTTACTGTATGAAGAGTTACAATGGTCAAATTTGGAAGTACAGTATAAGCATTTAATTCTTAAAGCACCACTTATTTAGGGACAATTGTTTGGGGAAAAATGACAATTAATATGGGATGGAGAGAGTATTAACTCATTAAGTACTTCAAGGAATGCAACCTTACAAGCCCCGGCAGATTCCAGAGACTGGAGGAGTTCCTCTGGGTAGCGCATGTGGAAGTCGGTAGAGTCAGCCTTGCTGTGGTCTGTGAAGAGCATGGCTGTGGGAATACGAACTGATTGAACAAGAAGTGTTAAGCACCTCTTGAGTCTTTCATAGGTGACTTTTCCATTTACAACTGGAAGATCATCAAC